CCCGCCGCTGCCCGGGGAGCGCCCAAGATGTGGGGGGACTGGGGCGGCAGCGGCCGCGGCAGTGCCAGGGACGGGGGCGCGCAGCAGCCTCCGCTCACCCGCCTGTGCTGACCTGCCTCACTTGCCCCCAAAGAATGTCAGCCAAGTCCAAGGGGACCCCCTCCTCGTCCTCTCCAGCCGAGGGACCGCCGGCAGCCTCCAAAACCAAGGTGAAGGAACAGATCAAGATCATCGTGGAGGATCTGGAATTAGTCCTGGGAGACCTGAAGGACGTGGCCAAGGAACTTAAGGAGGTGAGAGGCGCGGGGGTGGGGAGGGACTTCGTCGCCTTTCACGCTCTCGGGGTTCAGAGTCCCGTTTTCAGCGGGGGCCGCCAGATTTCTTCACTCGAGAAACTGGGGAAACGCCTGCTGGCGACTTTCTTTGCTCCGGCGACTCCTGACAAGAGTTGGTGCACTTTTTTTTTTTAAATCATGGAAAATCAACTAGTGTTTTTAATCGCCGGACCTGACTGAGATGTGAGAGCGCGCAAGTCTCGCCGGTGTGTGCAGGTCGGGGGAGGGGGTAGCTGGGGGTGTGTCGGCTGAGGCAGAGAGGAGCGCCCCGGCCGGAGCCTGCGACGCGCTGCTCCCAGGCCCGCTCGCACCCAGAGCCCTCAGGCGAGTGGCACCTGGCCTGGCAGCCTCCCCAACTGCGGCCCAGGGGACCCGGTTCCGGGGAGGTCAGCTCGGGGAAGCCCCGCTGCATCCCCCCGCCCCGCCACTCACCCCCACCCCCCAGCTCCCTGGAAGGGAGACGGAGGGGTGCTGGCGTGGGTGCCGGCCGTGGGCGTGTGGCGGGGGTCCGGGACACTGTGACTTTCGTAGTTCTGAAGCATCCCCTGCCCTCCACCCGACGCAGCTCCCTGTAACTCTGGGCCTCCCCGCCATCCACTTCCTTCCTCCCATCTTGTCGCCACTTGGCATTTAACCTGGGGCGCAGGGCGCGTTGGTGAGGGAGTGTGGTCAGTGTGCGTGTGCTGCTCTCTCCGTGTCTTGCCACTTGTGTCCACGCCTGGGAACCGGGACCGTTTGGGTAGTTTCCCGCGCCCAGCCTTCCACTTCTGTCTGGCCAGCAGCCCCATCCCCCGGGGATCTAGAGAAAAAGAAGCGGAGGCAGTGCCAGGGCTGAGGCTGCTTAACTCTGGCTGCCGCTCTAGGCGGGGGCGAGGGCCCTGGTGGAAGGGGTGGGGTCTCCCACGAACTGGCTGGCAGTTGGTGGCCCAATCCCTTCGGCTCTTCTGCTACCGAATGGGCACCCAGCGCGGCTGCCGTCTGACAGTAGATACCCGCAGTTGCTGGAGAGCTAAGCCTGTAACTTCCAAGGTGGTGGCAATAGCCTCGGAAAGGGAAGGGGTGGGGCGTAGTCCGGGTCCAAAATTGTAATCCTGTTTCAGAGCCAGGTTGGGAGGAGTTGAGGGTTGTTTGGGGGGTCTGACCTCTAGAGATGAACCTCCTTTATTCAATTTCCAACCCAAATGTAAGGAAAAGACCCCCCCCACACACACACACACTTTCTTATTTCCTCCCCCCGTTAACTGTATGAACAGGACTTTGCAAGTGTTACCAAATCCAAGTCTGTAAAAATGCCCCGTTCTTGGGGAGGGGTGTGTTTTCCAGTCGCAAATGTCATTCGCTTAAGGTTGCTCCACAGACAGAACATAATTACTGCTGAGGGCCTGAGAGTGGAGCTGGGTAGATATGATAATTGGGAGGCTAAAACTTGTTCGTGTTTGCGGGGCTTCCCTAAGATCATTGCTTCACAACTGGTTGACAGACGGTGAGGTTGTGCATCGAAATTCCAGTCTGAAGATGCTGTTCGTTTCTTGGTTTCTTGGTCGTTCTTTTATTTGACGTCTTTGGCAGGCTGTGTTTTCATCTGAAACATAATGGATTTTTAAAAAATGAACAAATTTTGACGTGTTTCTTTTGGCTGCATGGTGTTTGATAGTTGTTGAGATTTCTAAGGTGGGGATATGGGAACCTACATCAACACAGTGATGCTTTAAGAGGAGCCTAAGGCTAAAAGAAAGGTACTCAAACAGAACTCCAAGTCTCTGGGAACATGCTTCTCATGTTAGAAGGTGTCATTTCAATCCCTGTTTTAGATAGAATAAATGACAGGAAACTGCCTATGTTTCTACTTATGCTTTACATCATTGTTTCATAGACATTTGGAGACCAGGTATGTGTGTGTGTGTGTGTATTAATGTGCGTGAGTGTGGATGATGGTGATGAGAGTGAGCGAGAAAATCTCCCTGTGTAGGCTTTGGTTAGAATCACAAACAAGTAATCAAACATTGTGTGGATCTCTCTTTCACTTCTGTGTGATTTCATTTACTTGAAGATTTTTAAGGGAAAAAAAAAATCATGTAGTTTATAAAAAGAATAGAAAAGTAGGTACACTAAAGTAAATGAAAAAAAAAAATACCTCTTCCAGACAGCTCTGGAGATAACAATTTGACTTGGTGTTTGCAAGGTTTGGGTGGCTGCTAGGGCTTGTTTGGGTTAAAATCTTACCCCTCAGAGGAAAAAGGAAAATTCACAAATGATAAAAGATAGAATATGATTGTTAACTACTTTTGCGGGGATATGTCTTCCTAGGTTTGCACATGGAGTTGTATATATACTATGACTGAATCACCAAACACTGGCCATTTATATAATAAGAATGAGTTATTTTGAGAACAAAATATTTATAGGGCCTGTTTTACCCATGACATCTTTCAATTGCCCCGTATTTATCTTTTTAAGATAATTCTGCATGTGACTGAGCATGTCTTTGATGTAGTTTTGAATGGACAAGTAACGGAAACATTGTGAATTACAAAAAATGTTGATCTCTATATAGAACTATGACTTACACATATTATTAATAATTCTTCAACAGCTACATTCAATATTCTAGTAGTTTATAATTGGCACATAGTAAATATAAACTATTAAGAACTCAAATTCCTCCACTAGCAAGTCTGTGTTTATAAATTATATTTTAATATGAATTAGCAAAAGGCTCTTATTAACTTGAAACAGAAATTAAAAATTAAAAAGATTATGACTAGATTACTGTATCAGTCACCATATGGTGTTTTTTCTTTTTCCTGCTTTTTCACTCTAATTAAAATACAAAAGTATTTAAAAAATATTCTACCCTTTACCTTAAAAAAATATGAAGCAGCAACATTGTACTTTTGTTTGACATTATTTTGAAATTGCTTTTCTTTTAAGAAATTTTCTGGACTTCAGATATCTGAATACTTAGGTAGTGGGATAGATTTGAACCTAAGAGTAACTGCTTGAAATGTTTTGATAATTTGTACAAAACTCATTTGTCAGCATAGGTATCTTTTACAGTTAGTTATTATTGCTTAAACATTTGTTATGGGATACTCTGCTCTTAGATTTTAGCAAAACTTCAAGTAACCTGACTTTTCAGAACTAATACAGCTCTCTTGGTCTTTTATATGGTAATGGAAAAGTCTTAAGTGTAATTCAGCAAAAGTACTTATTCAGCAGCTACTACAAGTAATATTATTTTTTGTTGTTGCTAGCAAGATGACTGAGCTGGAGCTTCTGGTTTCATTGAGCTCAAAACCCTTAGTGAGCCTCTGCCCTTTCTTTGAATATCAGGCATAAAGAGATTGCTACTTAATGTGACCTTGTAGGCTGGTGAGAGGGTAGAAACAGAATTGAGACTAACAATCAGTATATGTAGATTGATATACCAGTGCTTACCAATGCTTGGTAGTATGGTAAGCTTTGGTGAAGAAAATAGAAGATTAAAAAGGTGGGGAGTTAAAATTTAAGGGATTTATGATTTATTCAGGTTATCATGATTGCTACATAGGGTTAGTGCAACACTCAGGAAACTCTATATCCACATTTTAAAGCCAAACATTGGAGATTTCATGAAGGGAGAAGGGAGAATCAAAAAATGAGATTTTGTGTCTTTCTTTGAAAAGTAGATACAATTTGGAGAGGTAAAAACAGTTAACAGAAAATAGCAGTAGAATAGAAGATTAATTCATGTTTCTGTTCTCTACATAAAGAAAAGAAAAAAAAACTAATCGTGCACTCTGAAGTTTAGGGAGAAATTAACAATTAGCTGTCACTGTTTATTTGCTGAGAGTTGATCCATTTTTCTAAAACATGTAGGTAAACAACATTTATTTATTTAAAAATGGTTCTCAAATAATCTGACATCTTTGTATAACATTTTGCCTTTTGCTTTATGAACTTTTTCTTTTTTAAGATTTATTTATTTATGAATATAGAACTGGGGTACAGGCAAGACGTGCAGGGGCATTGAGAAGATTCACCAGAGACAGAGTGGGGAGCAGGACAGGCAGATTGACAAAGTACTCTGCTCAGGGAAGCAGCAGATGGGACAGGAAAGGTCTACTGTGCCATGTGGGTCACCTCCAGGGCAGGGATCTAACTTGCACTGAAGTGGCTACGGCTTAGCTTAGCTTTGCAGTGCTGTGCTATAACCTGTTGCTTTGCCAGGGAGGGCCCCACTTTATAAACATTTGATGGTAAGCTATTTTGCATCAAATGTTGGTGTTAATATGGTATCACAGATTTTGTTGGGAGAAGAGAAATTGCAATATGTAATAAACTTATGAATGATTTGGAAGACAATTCTTTGCTACCTTAGCTGGATTCTCTTTTCATTTAGACTAAAACCTTGACTATTTTTTATAGTGTTTAAGATTTTAAGTACATATATTTGCATTACATGTGTTTTTGATTCATCCATTCATATTTAAAAAGTTGGGGGGCAGAACTTGTGAGTAGACATGACTTTCATGGAGCACCCCATTAACATGAGTCACTCTATATGTGCGCTGGAACCACTCAATGATTAGACTCCATGGGAAGGAAGGATTATGGCTGTAGGTTAGAAAGTACCATGTTTTTCAGACCCTTTGGGGGCTGAGAAAACACAGTTAACAATTATCTGTAAAACGTTTTTTGTTTTTAAACGTTTTCCTCTTTTTAAATGCTGTATCCACTTAAAGTTCTGTAGTTTATTGCTCTAGGAAATCCTACTTAATATTTTTTTTGTTAATGAGTCCATGCATTATAAAACTGATTACTAGAACAAATTATATAAAGAACAGCCTCTGGAGTATTTTGCAAGTTCTAAAGTTGTGAATGAGGGAAATTTCACAGTTTATGTGATTGTAGTAATTGCTATACTTTTAGCATTTTATACCAAGTCTACCTCCTAAAACAGAGGAATATTTATATAA